ACCGTTGAATTTATATAATGAACGTGTACTGGGTGCGTTCATTTTACTATCTCGTTTAGTCAAGATTTTCTTTATTTTAATTCAATTTCAAATTCAGTATTGCGATGTTTACTCAGACAAATGAGATAATTTGTTGTTGTAAAATATATGAGCATTAAATTGCAAGGTGTTGCAAAATGGCACAAGGTTCGCCATACCAAAAAAAAAAAACAAAGAAAATAGCTAGGTAGCCAGTAAATATACAGTTTCTAAGAAATTCTATTGCATTAGCTGAGGTTCTATCTAGTGATTACATAGGGCGTCAGGGAATACGTTGTTACAGGCGACCTATATTTCGTCCTATATACTTTAGCGATGCACTGGTGACGGAAAACAGTTTCAATTACAATAATTTAGTCTTGCCACAGTCCCACGACTCAGCACTAGTTGTGTATCGAGTTTGCAATAGCCATTTCATTTGAGGAGTTCTCTTCAAGTGGAAGGACATGGCCGTCCTCCCGAGATTTAGATCCATTCCATCGTATTAGTAGATTGGATCGCCGTCAGCCACTATAAAAACCCGCCCCGAAGCATTCCACCACTTCATTGAACAATACTTTTTGTTTTATTTAAATTCTGTTTACTTGCTCAACGTTGGAATTAATTGATATTGGCAAGTTCACCTCTACGCCAAGAGCGGTGAGATGAAAACTGAATTTACAAGCACAAGGTATTGAAGTCTGCCGTGAACGATTAGATAGCTCGTGTGATACACAACCTTATATTACATAACCGAATAATAACATGGCAGACTGCTACATTATTAAATGTATTCGAGATAGAAAAGACACATTACAGAGAAATGAATGTGAAATTGTTAGCACGATAAAACATTTATAATGTTAATTGTGTAATTCACGCATTAATTCAAACAATAGTCGTGGGGTGTCGCGAGTGTCACCACGAGTGTACGACACAGCTCGGGAAGGGTGAACGTAGCCCTCACTCAGTTTATTACTACAATGACTTGACATTTATTATCAGTTATGAAAATAAATTTCTCGTCGTGAAATAAAGGGAAAAATAAATTAAACTCAGTCGACCGCAAGGAAACGAGTTTAAGACTTAATTGTATAATATATTTGACGAAAGGGCCGTTGTTTGTTGCACTTTTATTGTAATAAGTATTTTAATAATCTGTTTTGTTCTAGTTGTGCATTTTTTATGCGAATGTGGCCCTTGGCAGGAGATTGTTGGACTTAACGGTTTGTTTTATTGTCGACAAAATTTGGTGTTAATATTCTGCGTAGGTACTTCATAGACAGCTATTAGGAACCCCCATTTTCATTACTGGGGTGAGAGCATCACGAAATGTTATGTAGGTTATGATGTAGTAAGATTTTGTAAATATTAAAATGTGGATTCTGTACGTGACGGTCCATTGTTAGAAAACTAGTATAATGTTTTGAATCAGTGTTATTTTTTACGTCAAGCGCGTGTGCTTGTATTCCGTGACTATGTCCAGTTTGTAGGGTTTAGCACCTTGTAAATCTGCACATAAAATATACAATGTTGTTTGTCACTATTGTTTCGGCGCGTGCCTTTACATTCTTGCTTTTTAGTTTCGATTTAAATTAACTACAAACAAAATGCTTTATGGTGTCACAGCCTTTTACAATATTGCTGTGTGTTTTAGGTATTTTAGAAGATTTAGAAGATTAAATTTGGGGAGGGACATTAAAAAGTTCTTATTTAATCATTTTTCGAATCAATTGGGAAAACATTTCTAACTCGAACAGCCATACCGGGTGCTATACATCTGTATGATCTCATCTATCAGCTCATTTGTATTCGATAAAACGTCCACACGTGCATATTTTCATTTAATTTGATTCTTGTTCACTTTAATACCTTTATTTTGAGTTATTTCTGAGATCATAACAAAGATACTTATGTCTATGAATAAAATAGCTTTTGCACTTAAACATGGACTTTATATTTAAAGCCCAATGCAAGACTATTAACAGGGTGTTTCAACAATCCCCCAGCAACCGTTTAAGGTCAGTCGTCCGATTTACGGCACCGGACGGCGCCGGATGAAGATTGAGCCGGTACTGCTAACAGTTTTTTTGTGTAGGTGTAAATCTTAAGGCGCGTTTACGACATTTTATAATGTGGCGTAAATGATGAGCGGTGGCGTACACAATGAACAAAAGGAAGTATGTCTACAATTATTTTTTTGCTAATATTTCAAGACTCGTTTAATCATTTAATGGACAATGTGTATGTTTTTCACATTCATCACCATCATTGTACAACCATATGATGTCCACTGATGAGCATAGACGCAAAAGATCAGGATCAGGCGGAGGCCAAAGGCCCCAATGACTCTGTGACCGGTAGCGACCTGCATGGGCGACAATCTCTTTATCCACGTTTAGTTTTGATGAAAATGAATGTTTAACTATTTGGTGCCATTCTAACTCCAAAGAATGTTTTCCAACAAAATGTTCTAAATCTAAATAAAATTATTCGCTGATAATAAAAAATAAATATAAAATAAAAATTCTTTATTACCAGCCCAAAGCATACAGGTTAATCCAGTATACAATGACAACCGCACTAATAATAATAATGTAAAGATACACTCCGTTACTCCAATTTTGATACTGAGAGGTCAATTTAGAGGTCATCGATGAAGTTAATCTCAGTGGTAGGTGGTAGCCACTTGGGCCATATCACTGTTAGACCTTTGCACTAACCGGGAACAGTAAAACAACACTTTTAGGGGGGTCGTGAAATTTTTAATGTGTTTCTGGTCACGATTTAAAGCCACATATAGTGACGCAATCATTTCCTGTAAAATAAATCCGATGTTAAATGATTTCGAAAAGTTAATATTGTTTTTTTTTATAGCATAAGCCAGTAAACGGGCAGACGGATCACCTGAAGGTAAGCAATCGGCGTCGCCCATGGACACCTGGAACACCAGAGGCGTTACAAGTGCGTTACCGGCCTTTGAGGATCGTTTGGGATTCAGGAATTGGGGGATTGGGAAAGGGGAGGGTAATATGGCCTCCGGTAACCTCATTCACACGACAAAACACAACGCAAGCGTTGCTTCACGTCGGTTTTCTGTGAGGCTGTGGTATCACTCCGGTCGAGCCGGCCCATTCGTGCCGAAGCATGGTTCTCCCACACTTGAAGGTCGTGTCGTCGTTGCAGGTCGCGTCCAACCGGCATATATGGAAGTCATTGAGGGAGGCCTATGTTCAGCAGTGGACGACTAACGGCAGATATAATGATGCCGATGATGAAATACTGATGACGAAGACTTCCGTTGGCCGAGTAGTCGCAAGTGCGACTGCTGGGCAAAGGGTCTCGGGTTCAATTCCCGGGTCGGTCAAGATATTACTGGATTTTTTACAAATTCTCAGTAGTATCATGGAGTCTGGAATTGTACTCGGTATATGGCAATAGGCTCACCCCCTAGTTCATGGGACTCATAACATAAATAGTGAAAAGTGGGTGTTATATTGTACAGTGGCATTTAGTGCCGTAATGTGCACCTCTGCCTACCCCCTCGGGGATAAAAGGCGTGATGTTATTTTATGATGATGAAATATTATGTTGCCTTAGTAGTTATGTTTATCATAGAGTCATCAATAGTTTATTTTATTTATTTATTTAATATTTGATGGGCCGACGTTAAACCACTATCTCGCCTGGTGATTAGCGATGATGCGGTCTACGATGGAGCACGTTGTCCCATAAGCATCCTATTCATTCGGGCCTTGAAGACTCCTAGGTTATACCCTTCAGGAATAATTCGTTACTGTCGACTATCTAGAGTTTAGAGCCTATACTACATGGGCTCCTCTATATAAGAAGGATCTGATCTAGTCTCCTAGCAGGTGGGTTAGAAAAATCCTTACTAGTCCTTACTATAATATTATAAATCGGAAAGTGAGTTAGTTTGTTTGTTCCGCTTTGACGCCGTAACTACTAAACCTACGGTAGCCGGAGATCGTCCCGCGATCCCCGACGCCCGGTGTATCCTTCGCGATGGCTGGGTTGCGAGGAGGCAGCGCTTCGCTGCCTCACGCGTCCCGCCTCCTCCTTAGCTAGCATGACTGCTTCGCAAAAGGAGGAGACGGCATCCCAGTCCCCCTCGCTCCGCATCATGGCCTGCACTAGGCCCGGACGCGAGAGGTCGCCATCGCCGATCACTTCCTTGAGGGCACGGCGGTGCTCAGCCCACGCAGGGCATTCCGCAACAGTGTGTTCCACCGTCTCCTCAGGGCGGTTCTCGCAGTGATGACACCCGGGCGTTTCCTCCCGCCCCATCAGACACAGGTACCTCCCGAAACTTCCATGTCCGGTGAGGACCTGTGTCAGGTGGTAGGTGAGGACGCCGTAGCGTCTCTCAAGCCACTCCTCAAAGAGGGGACTTACCGCTGCAATGGCAGCGAGCCCAAAAGTTAGAAGTCTGGATTAAATAATAGGGTACTTTTTATCCCGGAAAAATTTGATATTCCCGAGGGAAAACAAAAGTATTGGTATAGATGGCGCTGTGTGTATTGGTATATATCACATGGGCTACTTTTTATCCTTTTGTGACGCGAGCGAAGCCGCGGGTAAAAGCTATGATTAAATAAGTTTCAGGTTTCTCAAAGACTACAACTGCCCGGTCTTAAATGTCAATGTCGTTCCTTAGTTAGCTCTTACGGTAAATGTAGCATTTAATCTGTGGTCATGATTTGACATTTTATATTTATTACTAAAAAAAAAATAAGTTGACTGGTTTTAAGTAAAATGCTGAAGCAGAATTTCTATGAGTATTACATTTTTAATTCAAAATTTATAGTTATGTAGGTACACAGCTCGCATAAAAACGTGAAATGTAATAAATTTTCCGTATGGATTTGCAGTTATAGAAGTTATATTGGTTTATAACATTTACAAGTCTCCATGTGTGTACAAAATATAACTTTTTTATATTAAAACGAAGACTGATTAAAATGGTCACATTTGTAACATTAGTGGCCATTTTTAATGTGTATTTATGTGCAATTAGAGCAGGTACTGTCCATTTGCTAGACTTTATTACCAACTCATTATAAAAAGGCTATAGTTAAAATTAATTTCACTCAAATCGGTTCATTCATTTTGGATCTACGGAGTCAAATACAGGCAGGTTTATTATAACACCCCGCTTTGTGTTTTAAAAATGGAACCATAATAATAATGTATTTCTTTAATATATCAATATATATTAATAAATATTTATATATGTATATATCAATAAATATTTGTATAGTAACTATCGTAAGACATACTAAATTAACAAAAAATCGCGGGTTACTCACGTGAATACCTCTATATTGAGAAAAGCTCTATTAGTTTCGAACCACAGGCTATGCGTAGGCTGTAGGCTGCGCGACATCGCCGCGACTGCGCACGCTGCTCATGAGGAAGAACTCCTCTGTGGTTCGAAACTAGTAGAGCTTTTCTCAGTATATTAACGTGAGTAACCCGCGATTTTTCTCAATAAATAACTAGTAGGTAGTATACGTCAACATTTTAAAGTGATAAGATGAGGGTACAAGGTTTCACGGCGATACAAATGTGTTCCCCCACTTAAGTGTCGTAATTGTGTAAATAGTTCCGGATCGGGACTACTTATTTCAATTAAACGAAATATTTATTCTTACAGAAAACAAAGAAACAGAAAAAGCAGATAATTGGTAAGTCATATTCTGCATATCTTTTCTTTAAAAAAGACGTTGTTGCGTTGTCCCATACTAATGGAGTCTCTTCTGTCCCTCTATCTCGGATGCGTTTTTAATATGTATCCCTATTAAATACACATCAAACGTAGGTATACTTGGAATTAAAGTAACGGAGTCACTGGTGTTTGTCTCAAAATTTTTCTTAAAGATAAGTCTTTAAAAAATATTCCTTTTACAACCAAATACTCTCATTTTAAAGGTTACTAAATTGCCATTTGTACAACATACATTAACAATTACATAATACAATACTTGAAGAAAAAGAAAAAACAACGCTAGTGGCTGTGGTCCTTTGCTCCCAAGTGTAGCCAGGTGGTGATGGTGGAACAGAATTGTTTAGGCACCAATGTTACTACTTCCGTGGGTGTCGTAAGAACTTAGTAATGGACCACATATTTTTACTCTGATAAACATTTTAAAGTTTAAAAGGTTTTTGATCATGATGATGACATAGGTACTGCGATTAATAGGCATAATGTCATGTCATGATTCTATACTATGATGTCTTACTTCTTACTAATATTAGAACTACTGAACTTTGTAAGTTTGTGTGTGTGTTACTCAATCACGACAAATCGTTGAAGAGATCGGGATAAAATTTGGTACAGGGATAGATTATAGACCATAGTCTGGAATAAGAAATGGGGTACCTTTTATAAATACATCGCGGGCAGAAGCTAGTCAAAATATGAATGAAAACTTTACTTACTGGTACATTTGTAGGACAATTACAACACCACAGTATCCAGACGGTAAACGAAAGAATAGCGCGAATAGAAGTCCAAAGGATCAATCTGAAAAGAAAATTTTACGAAACAAAAAGGTTCATCACTTAAGGTGGCTCTCGTCGTTCTTTTTCCCATACAAATACCAGGGGGCTTTCCACCACAGTTTGGCATCATACATCCGAAATTTAACATGATGTTGTTTTGTCTTATCATTAAATTTGTCGGTACAGTTGGAGAATAGTAAAATAATGTACCACTAAAAAGTTATAAGCCAACAAAGTCTTGTGTGTTTTTGGTAATTTTAACGCAACTTTGTGTACAAATAAATAACACAACAACTGTAGAATCTCCAAAACAAAAACTGTACCAACAAAGTTCGATTACTAATGAGTTTAATTAACTTTTGTTTGTAGTTAGTTGAAGCAGCAGTTTTTCGTATAGCGCAATATTCTAAAGAGCAATATATTTGCGCTCGTGACCATGTATTCCACATACTACCTATCGAGAACACTATATATTTATACTGTTCTTCAAATTGGTATATATATAGCTATATGTATATGTGCACCACAATATAGTCACTCGCACACTGCATGCATATTTGCTTCAAATAAGTTCGGCTGTGACTAGACCGCTTTTAAAGAAAATTATTCGTGGTATTTAAGTAATAACCATATCGAGGGGTAACGGGCTATTTGGTTTAAGCGACATTTTGGGCGATATTGAGTTATATATATATTCGGAATCAGCGAATTTTTCTCCGTCGAATGATGCCGGTTTCATTAAAATCGGAGCACTTTTTTGGCGTTTCAAACAATTCTATTTTCATGTTGTTTCCAAAGTGGCAGTGTATTAAACGACATGGATTTCGCATTTTTTATTAAATTATGTACTTGAACCATACCATCATATTAATAACCGAGACATAAACCAGTCACCCTATCTCTAATTATTAAGTCAACATGAGTTAAAGCCTTTTTCTTGTTTCTAATTTTTATTAACAAGTAACTTGAATCATTTTGACTTCCCACTAATCACACGGTGTGATGTCGCTTAAAACATTTGTCCGTCATCCAAATGCGTCATGGTACGTCTCTTAAACATTTCTAGCTGCTCTATTTTCTACGCAGGGTGCTACTTAAACCAAATAGTTGTTTTCGTTTAGATATTTTGTTTAGTCATAAACCATTTAACCCTCATTTTTTTTTAAATGCATGTCGTTTTATACAGACGATAACATTGATAATTAATATTGAAACATTTTTCCAGTATTCATAGAAATACGAGTCGGTCTTTCAATCACTAAGTTTTAATATGGTACATTTCAATCATGTCATATATACCATATTTATTTCATCGCCCTGGTGTTAAAAATCGTTATCATCCAACTGGACTATCGTGCGCTGGCGCTTCAGTAACTCCAGAGTGCGCCGAAGACATACGGGACGCGCGCACACCGCCAGTGTTTACGTAAAACGCTCATCGAAATTGAATCCTAAGTACTTTAATTTCAAGATGAACTTTGGCAACAATGACAATTTAAGGGCTATTGTGGAGGTTGATGACATACAATCTACGGCTGATTTAGCAACAGCTTTCGGCGTTAGCGTCAAAACAATATTGGTACATTTGCGTCAAATTGGCAAGGTAAAAAAGCTTGATAAGTGGTGTCCCACAAACTAAATGATCAACAGAGCTAAGTATGCATCGAGCAGTGCGAGGGGGACTGGGATGCCGTCTCCTCCTTTTGCGAAGCAGTTATGCTAGCTAAGGAGGAGGCGGGACGCGTGAGGCAGCGAAGCGCTGGCTCCTCGCAACCCAGCCATCGCGAAGGACACACCTGGCGTCGGGATCGCGGGACGATCTCCAGTTACCGTAAGCGCGGGCCTGCGGACGGTGAGCATGGGTGGCTCCACGTCCGACCAGAAACAGACCCGAGCGTACGGCGCGTCGCATTCCGCGCGCGCCTCAAAGAGCCATCAGACCACCACAGATGGGGCCCAACAGGGTCGATGCCATTCGGAGTCGCGGAGAACCTAACGGGTAACCGGGCTCCGACTCGACGTGCAGGAGAAGAAACGGGGTGATTTTTTGTCAGTAAGAGTCTGACACTCTTTCCCGCCACACCCAGGCGGGAGCAGTCATTCGATGATTTTCCACCGTTAAAAAAAATGCATCGAGTAGTGCCTTGCACTGCACTGCTCAATATACACACAAATGAAAGAATTTTGATTTGCATTGTCACCTCCGATGAAAAATGAAATCTGTGTGATAACCACACGCGTTTAGCATGTTGGTTGAATCCTAGTTCAGCACCTAAACAATGCCCTAAACGAAAACTTACCCCTAGAAAAGTGATGGTCACTGATGGTCTAGCGCTCGCGCTATTCTGATTCATCACAAATTCTTACCAAACGGAGTGAGCATTACTACGGATGTGTAGTGTAAAGAACTGAACACAATGATGGAGAAGCTGACACATCTCCAACCAGCACTGGTCAATCGCTAATCTCCATTGCTCCTGCATTACAACGCGCGACCTAAAGCTGCACAAGAGACGGCCTCCACGTTACAAGAACTGGGGTTGTGAAGCTCTCCGACATCCACCTTACTCACCAGTCACCAGACTACTTCTTTTTCCAGAATTTGGATAACTTCTTGGCGGGAAAAAATTTAATAACCGAGAGGCAGTACAAAATGCATTTGAAGAATTTGTTGCTACCCGTCCAGCTGATTGAAGAAGGGCATCAATAAACTGCCACTGCGTTGGCAACGATGCATTGATTGCATGGGTGATTACGTTGATTATACAAATAAAAAATACATGAAAAAATCGTTTAAATTTTTTCATACAAAACGGCAATTTCAGTAAATGACCCATTAATTTAATTGATTTTGCTGAAATATAATCGATATTCCTATTGAAACTGTTATTATTACTCTAAATAAATACTTTGATATTGTGTTGTGTTTATTTATTCAATGTAAGCATCTGAGATTTTCGGTGATTGCGATATATCCAGGTTGTTTTATCAGCCATTAATCGCCTTAGATGTAAATAAACATAAACATTAAACGTTATAATTTCAATGTTATATGTCACATAAGTAAATTAGCCTGTCACTCATTTTAGTCTGAATTGGTAGTTAAGATAAATAGCTTGCTTCTATTAATTTTGGGTTTCGTCACTTCATATTTTTTAGCTGACTCTATAAATAGAGTGCATTGTCGCTTAATTTTTTTCCCTTGTAGCCAATTGTAGTTATGAAGTCACTTAAATCGTTTTTCCTGACTCTAAAAAAGGGCAGATTGTATTAAGCGACATTTATCTTTGTAATTAAAGGTCCGCTTTATTTAGAATTAGCATCAGCAACTAGATAATTTAATTTAAATTTCAATGCAATTTACCCCGTTCAAATAACTGCAGAAATGTTTTTGTTACGAATTTTTTTTCGAAATTTCAAACTTTAAAAGGCTCTCCTGTAAAGTTGCAAAAATGTCGCTTAAACCAAATAGCCCGTTACCCCTCGATATATAGTTCGTATGTTACCCTATTATCTCGTTCATCAGTATTAACTTACTAACCACTCTTATTGCAGCCTCTTTTGTCACCCATGTACATTGCAGTTTCCTGATATTCGATTATGTTTACATTATATTGACAAACTTTACAGTAACAAAAATATTGCATTGTAATATTCTGTACCTTAAATTAGTAGTTTGATGAAATCAGAGGCTGTGTTGCCAGGTAAGTAAGACAAAGTTGTCGGAGTAGGTCTATACCTAGTAGAGGAGTTCAAAAGGCTACTAATCAGATGATGATGATGATGATTTTTTGAACCAGGTCTGCAACTGGAGCTAAAGCGGATGTAATGCGTTTTATCAAACAGAATAAAGCACACATCGACGATACTACCTCGTCTGAGTCATCTGATACAAATGAATACGAAGAAATCAAAATTAAAAATTTTAATAAACCTTACAAAGACCTCATAAAAGGTATTTCAAAAGTACCAAAAAAGTTCGACTTAAATAGAAGCCACGACAAAGAAAAGAATAAAGACAGAAAGAATAAATCACAAACAATAGAGAAGAAAAAGCATATTGATAGAAATGAAGAAATTAAAGAAAGTAAAAAAAGCACACCAAATCAGAACAAGAATAGGAATCGTAACAAAGAGAAATACCACACTGAAGAAAGAAGTAGAGAAAAATCTCGCGTTAAGGAAAGAATGAAAAGTAGAAACCGTGATAAAGAAAGAACTATGAACGCAAACCGAAATCCAGAAAAGATGCCGGAGGTGTTTCGATTAAATGAAAACAATCCTATTCCGACTACAGATCGCTTCAAAGATATGAATATAAACAAATTATTACCACCGGTCATGGAAAAGAATAAAAAAACTAAAAGCGACAATCAAGACAAAAATAGTAAAATTGGTGTATCAGCTCCACCGGATCCATCGAATTTAAGAATCCCCAAGAAAGCCCCGTTAGGTCTGAGGTGGAATGACGTAATATTTTAAGTTAATATTTTAGACGCATTTAGACTTGCGATGGATTTTTTGAAACATTGCCCATTTTGTATTTTTTGTTTCATAATATCCAATCACATGACATTTTATTGCTTTGGCTTGCTTTGGACCATAATAACATTCTCATACACAAGCATGTCATTATTAAGACGTTGCCGTTAACTGTTCGCATTGCGTAATTTTTTACTTAATGTTTCTACCTGATTTCAGATCAACAAGAATGCCACCTATGTCACTGAACCAACTTGATGAGTAAGTACCACGAACTTCGTACGGACCAATTTCTATAAAACAGTTGTCAAGAGAGATTTTTGTATGTATGTATAGTATGTATACATTCTAAACATTGAGGAAATGAGAGTGTTATTCGAACTCGCGATAACAAAATTTAAAAAAACGTTTGAAAATAATTTTGGGCATTTTTTTAAATAAATTTAAAAAAAATCTCCTATGTCGTGGGTACGTTTACAAACAAAGAATATTTTATTAAGTAGTTGGTACTAACATTTAAGTTAGTTGCCTCGTTCCCGGGTTGGGTAAAGTAAGGTACTGGGATTTTTAAAAATTCTCAGTAGTAGCACGGAGTCTGGATTGTACTCGGTAGGTATATGGCAATAGGCTCACCCCCTACATGGGACTTATAACATAAATAGTGAAAAGTGGGCGTTACGTTATACAGTGGCATAATGTGCACCTCTACCTACCTATCCCTTCGGGGATAAAAGGCGTGATGTTATATTATGTTATTTAAGTTAGTAGGTATATAAATCTAAGGAATTAATATGTTCCACTTATTTCCCAGTCCAGTGACGACACCAACAAAATGGACAAAATCAAATTCTGGGACACCGCCAAATACACTTAGTCCCTATGCTGTAAGTTAAACTGGTCAAATAAATATGTACCTAACGTTGTTGTCATTATGTTGTATTTTTAACATTCACCCTAATGCTGTGTTCGCTCTACGCTTGTATTTTAGTCGAGTGACGAGTATTTAGTAGCCTTCTCTCGCTTCTGTCCCAAAATCGAAGCGAGAAAGAGCTACTAAAAACTCGCCACTCGACTATAATAAGTACTAGCGCATTGCGAACAAGGCTTTAGAATGCCACGTCTGTCACCGACGCTAGTGGAGCTTTGACTTTCATCATTTTAAACTTGACAGTTAACCCATCGAGCGTCCTTATGAGCACCCGGTGAATCATAAGAAAAAATGCTCCAAATGTCACGTGTGCACCCGTTGGATCATAAGGAACGCGGAGGCTCGACGGGTTAAAGTGTTAAAGATTTTGTTTGTTCTTTTTGTTAAAATGAGTAGGTATTTTGGAACCAACAGTCATTTTACTGGGCTTTAAGTTACAATCTTTGCAACACTGACTGTACGTACATACGAGCTCGTTTCAGTATAGACAATGGTGCGCAATGTAAAATTGCGCCACTGTACCATAATGTATCATGTCGTTCTGTTAACATAGATATGTGTCCCGGAGAACCTAACGGTTAACCGGGGCTCCGGCTCGACGTGCAGGAGAAGGAATGGGGTGTTTTTAGTCAGTAAGAGTCTGACACTCCCTTCCGCCTCACCCAGGCGGGAGCAGTCATTCGATGATTTTCTCCCCTTAAAAAAAAAAAAACATAGATATGTAGGTACATTACTATATTAAAAAATTTATATAATATTATTACGTGTGTTATACTTGTTTACAGATAATGGAACAAATGAAAATAGTGATTGATTGCTTTCCTCATGCAAATGCAACATTTGAAACGATTGGTCGGACGGTCGAATATAATGATATAATCATAGTTAAAATTACTGACAGAAAACAAAGATATTTCCGAGCTGATGAAAGCAAATATATTGACGAGGTTCCCGAGAAAAAGATCATATTTATCGTCCATGGCTTGAGCGTCATGGGAATGACTAAAATGTTGCATCTCTCCTCTATCAGTGAATTGAAGATACTTATGTCATACTATCTAAATCACTTAGATAAGTTTGACATATTTTTGATACCATTGGCAAATCCTGATGGATACTCCCTTTCCCATAACGTCGAAGTAAGTCAAGTTATAATAACGTCAGTTGCTAGTTGAAAAAACTCAAACTATAAATAAAAAATCGTTATTGTTCACGTGAGGTAGGGTACCCGAAACACTAGTACCATTACCACGTTGATTGGCAATGCTTCATCTTTGTCCAAGACAATAAACAACATTAGGTTACATAAACTATCAACCATTCTCTTTATAATATCTTTGTAAAGTATTTTTTTAAATATTTACGCATAGTACCTAATGGGGTAGACGACTAATTTTTATTTTAATGTCCGTCTGATAGATTATTTAAAAACATTAGACACGTATTTTTTATTTTCTCACAGAAACGAATAGTTTCGAAGATATATTGATTTGAAATGTCGCGTGACGTCACTTCTCAGTACATTTTATACTAAGGAATGACGTTTTAGCCCCCACTCCTAAACTTTGATTCGTTTTATCTAAGTATTGTTTTATTATACGACAAAATAAAAAAATACGTGTCTAATATTTTTTCATTACCTAACTTACGGACTAATTATATTTTTAATTTTCATACCCTGCCATCATCCCCATTTATTGTTACTTTTTTGCTAGTACGGCATGATGTGGAACAAGAATGCGTCGCCTCAAGAGGCTTGCCGTGGAGTATATTTGGATCGTAACTTCGATGTGTCGTGGAATTCCACTCGTCAGATCAGTTCCTGCAGCCAACTGTACCCAGGTCCAGCGCCATTCTCAGAAGTGGAAACAAATGCCGTCCGGAATATTTTCCACTACTTCGGCCACAAGATCTTAGCGTACATTAATGTGCATTCAGGAACATTTGACGACAAAGTCTTTAAGGTATTTTACTATATCTTGAAATGTATATTAATGGAGGAACAAAGAGTTATTTTAATTTTTTCAAATTGTTACTTTTCCGATACTATCAAATTCGATTCGATCACGATTTGATTAGGTATTGGCATTCCGGTCAACATAGTTTTAACTTCCAGCAAAAATAGATTTACTAAAAAATAAAAAATAAAATAATGTTTATTTCGGACAAGTGAAACATCCATAGGGGTTAGTAAGAAAAAAAATTAAAACTATGTTAGTACCTATTTTGTTACAAGCCTACTGTTGGGAATACATCTTCGCACGATAGCATGTATTATAGGTGAATCGTACCTCCCTGCAATGGTTTTCAAGATGGAGTTGGAACTGGCCCGCACCCTGCAGAGCAGCGATGCAGACTTCTGTCTGATAATGACATGGAAGTCATCAACTAATAAAACATAAAATTGTTATAATATAATTAAATGACTTCGTGTTTCTCGTTTGTCACGTGCGCAGCTCGTGAATATGGGTCTTGGTGTATCTGGAAACTATTCGAGCTCTTCTTGATAATTCAATCAACTCATAATTATTTCCTTTAATATCCTTTGCAGGGAGATGCGATCTTATACCCTCGAGGATATACAGAATTACAGACGGATGATGACAAATATATTGACCTGAAAGGAGAGGTAGACGAGTCTATGAAGAATGCCAGTTTTCAAGTTATGTCGGTGGCTGTTGACACCCTGTACAATTGGTATGGGAAAATATCAGGGTCGAGTGTGGACTATGCGTCTACGGTAAGCACTTAAATAAAGGGTAACATTTTAACCATGAGGCCTACCTACTACTTTACCTTATGGTCTCCGAGGCCTCTGCCTTATCGAATTCGAGGCAATCGAATTGGATCGACATCTCCAGAGGTAAAAACTATGGTAATCACGTTCCCCATGCTCATGTTCTGTTTGATCCTCACTTACTTTTAGAGAATGATGTATAATGCTTGGAGGTGCTTTATTTCCTTTAGTACCCCATCGAATAAGTGATAGCATGAGCTAAGATCGGACTGCACAAAATATGTATGATGTGGGTTACCTCTGTCACTGTGGCTCCTTCGAAGATTAGAAAGAATGTTATTATTATTATATTTGTCGCGGAGAACCTAACGGGTTACCGGGGCTCCGGCTCGAAGTGCAGGAGTAGAAACGGGGTGCTTTTTAGTCAGTAAGACTCTGACACTCCCTCCCTCCTCACCCAGGCGGGAGAAGATATTCAATAATTTCCCCCTTTAAAAAATATTATTATATTTATTATAAATAGGCAATTATTTTTTCTTTGAATGGCAGGTTTATGGTATTCCTTATGCCTTGGAGTTCGTGATGCAGCTATACCAGGAGGAAGGCACAAATTATTCAATACAACATTTCGCCCTAACCGAGATCTGGAACCGGCTGATAGACACGGTCTTCAATAACATGTGGAAGAGTCTACATGGCAACGACGTCCGGAAAAAATAATATTAGATTTAGTTTAAAAATAAAATGTACATGAAATGATGTGTATGTCGACTCACGAGTTCACGACGCAGGATAATAATCGACTGAGGTTATTGAATTGGGTTTAAATGAATGCTTGTTGAAGTAATAAGATGTCATTGGAGTTAGGAGCTAATAGAGAATAATTACTACCACAGCGGGTGGCTTTGATAGCAACACTAATATTTATAAACACTGAGTCACCAAGGGATTCGTTGTGGGAAAAAAAGAAATACGAATTACATGTCATTGTGTTTATTGCCTGTCCGTTTTTTCCATAGTTTCAAGTTATGTTATTGGTTACATTGTCATAGCTTGTTTCCATATTATCATTTACAATTCGAACTCCTGCAACAAAAAACCTTTTACCTAACGTCAATACTACACTGTCTGTTTGTTTGTTACAATGACACTTACGACTTGGCCAACGAATTTCTCTGGATTAAAAGGTTACGTTAAATACACACACGTGTTAGCAGCCTTCATATAAACGTACACTCCTTCGTCAAACAATGACGAATTTGATCACTCATAACTCATAACTGACACTTTCTCTCACTTTTAACCCATGCGTCATTGATAATCTGCTATGTCAAAATTTAGAACAATAAAACGATCAAATTTAGTTACAATCGTTCCATTGGCGTTTTATAACGAGCTTGATATTTCACCTGTCTAACTATACCGTCAATGAATTTTTAAATGTTAATTTGTGTATAACTAAGTAAGTATGTCAAGCCGGTTGTTGTGTGGAACTGGTTTTGCATACAAAACGGCTCATGAAAGAGAGAACGAAGAAAGTGAACGTCTGTATAGCTTTTCGTAGTTTTTAAGCCTTTGTATTTGTTGTTAGTACTTTTGTTTTATGCCGTCCTGGTACCGGTAGAATTCGGGGCACACGTGACGCACGTGGTTGTCCTACTTGAAGGAACCACGCCTATCTATTATGGTTACTTTGTTAATGTTCTCTGGGTATTTAAAACTGATTAACTAACGGTCAGTCTCAATAACCGATCTGTAGAACTAGAGACAGACTTTTGACATAATTTGTACAGCGTTATGGGAAAATATTTAAGCTCTAAGAGTACTGTTAGATATTTTTTTTATAGCGTAACGATCTGACGGATCACTTGATGGTAAGCAATCGGCGCCGCCCATGGACACCCGAAACACCAAGGCGTTACAAGTGCGTTACTAGCCTTTTGGGAATTGGGAATTTGAGGATTATGGTGGATTCGGGGATTTGGGAGACTAGGGAATTGGGCCTCCGGTAACCTCACTCACACGACGAAACACAAAGCAAGCGTTGTTTCACGTCGGTTGTCTGTGAGGCCGTGGTATCACTCCGGTCGAGCAGGAGCCCGTTCGTGCCGAAGCATGGCTCTCCCACACATGCTCTAAAATATCTATCAATTTAAGGATATAATGATGTTCTATAATTATAAGAGTTTAAGTGCTAAAAGCGTTCTGTTGAACATGCTCAAAAATATTCAAAAAACGAACGCCTGTCGATTTCCAAACATGGCTGAAATGATCATACTAATTTTGAGTAACATCCGACACATGCTACTAAGTGACAATAAGTGCTCAATTGAAATAATTATCTTTTTGTGTTTGACATTATCACTTTTAAATTTGCACCTCTAGATAGATCAGCTATTAATTTCAACCAAAGTGATCAAGCAACTCGTATCTGACTAAGATACGATATAATTACCGTTGAACGTGATTTATTGGACGGCTACTACAATGCGTAACAGAACTTTTTGTCATATTTTAAGCGATCATTGCTCTACTGTACCGTTTGTGTGAAGACAAATATCATCTGTTGTTGAGTAAAGATTAATGGCATTTAATAGCCAGCCTATTTGTAGTTTAGACAACCAGAATACAGATAGGTACCTATGTCTAAATTGATTATTATGTAGACAGAAATACGTATATCAAGAAATAAAAACATCGCGTTTTTTCTTAAAAAGGGTTTAGTCGCGCGTTTAGTCACATTCGCCGCGTTTTATTGTCGTGCATGCTTTTCGTAGTGCTCGTGGTTATTTATGGGCCCTGGTTTAGCTTGAAACTAATCGATTAACCTCTAGAACAGTAACGTGAGTAAGACGGGTTCTATTAGACCAGGCGTGATTGGAGGTTCGAAACCAAGGGTTGCTACGCCAGAAGTCGGTCAGCTTTGTACCTCACGTATTGAAAAGATACACGTCAAACTACCTAATTAATTGATTACAAACATACAGTAAGAATAAGAAAACAATGAAAATGAAAAATATATTTGAATGGCTTCAAATATGTATCTTTTATAACACTTATTACAGTCTAAAGTTAAATAAGCTCATGCACTCTTGTTAAGGTCTGTGCGACGAATGATATTTATTCAGTCTTCACAAAGAAGGTTCATCTCACTCCTTTTAAAGTACAAATGTTGAGTATGTATCACCACTAAAATATTTCTGCAGTCACAAACGTTTCTGACTAAAGTAACGAAAATAAAAACTTAAAATTACACACAGTATAATTCAAATTTAAATATTTTATTAACTTCATTAAATAAACTTAAGAAACGAAACTATGTAACGTTTAACTTACATATAGAAGTGAATTATCCTTTTTGTTAAAGTACTTAAAAAATCAAATGTAAAGTTCGTAAAATGAAACATAAAGTTGCTAAGATTTCTTTCTGCACATTTCGCAAAATTAATTGAAAAAATGAAGAGATAACAAACAAACGTCAGTAGTTTCGGATAACCACTTCGTCTTCATCTATTTTTAATGAACAATATAAATATAGATTCAGCAATTTAAGAGTAACAAACACACACATACTGTAACACTCTTATTATTCACATAAGTGCTCTTTTGATAACACGATTGGTGCGTTGGCTGGGCAACCGGCTGCCGCGCAAAGTGTAGCAGTTTTAATTCCCGCACGGAGCAACTCTTTGTATGATCCACAAATTGTTGTTTCTGATCTGGGTGTCATTGTGTATGTGAACTTGTATGTTTGTAAATGCACCCACGACACAGAAAAAAATCCTCTTATGGAGCAATGTTTAAAAACAATACTGGATTGGAACTGTAAGTTTTGTTGTCTCTTAAGCAGTGACTCAGTAACTGATCGCTGTCACTGACAATGGGACCGTTATGTAGGTGGTTCTGTGCCAGTACGGTACATGACATTGGGCTCGCAACGCCTTGATTAACTCGTTCATTTGTTTAGTTTACGGTATTACTGGATTGTCTCATGTAAACGTTACAAACGTCTTGGGTATGGTAATTCATCAAAATGTCACAGTTCACTGTCAAGTTTAGGTGTCATGTAAATTAAACAATCGTGGTATTGGTATTAAAGACATTCTTCTTAAATAACTAAAAATCGCGGGTTACTCACGAGAAAAGCTCTAGGTACTAGTTTCGAACCACAGAGGGGTTCTTCCTCATGTGTCCCCAATAGGGGGTGAGCCTATTGCCATATACCGGGCATAATTCCAGACTCCGTGCTACTACTTAGATTTTATTTAAAACCTAGTAATACTTTGCCCGACTCTGGAATCGAACCCGAGACCCCTTGCCCCTGTAATCATATTATGACTAGGCCATACCAGTTTATCCTAGAGTGTGCGTATTTATATCAGGATCAATTAGTTTGTCCTAGCCTAAACTGGTTTATCCTATCGGGCTTAGGACAAATTAGTTTGAACTAGGCTATACTAGTTAATCCTAACGCTTATAGGAAGAACTAGTTTGGCCTAGGCAAAACTAGTATGTCCTGAAATCGGGTTTGGCCGGTAACATATATAAACTAGCGGACCCAACAGACGTTGTCCTGCATATCCACTTGAATGTATAAACAAAAATTCATTCAAATTAGTTCAGCTGTTTAGGATAAATAACCTAAACATCGACTGCAGCGCCTTCTGCCGGGCTGATTTGTGAATCTAAACCATTCCCAGATCCCCTTGAACACACACAAAAAAAAATCATCAAAATTGGTCCAGTCGTTTAAGAGAAGTTCAGTGACATACACACTCACAAAAGAATTATATATACATATAAAGAAAATTACATTTTTTAATCCAAATATATTCAACAAGACCTTTCGGGTTTTTCGATTTTTATATCTGTGGCGTGATTTCTGAAGATTACATATTGGTTTTCATTACCTCATAACTCATATTAAAGTTATTATCTGAATTGTCTGTCTAATCGACAAATAAATCACACGTTTCAATTTTCGTTTTCATTTTTGTACAGATAGATTTAGGTTGACAGATAGGCCTTCCAAAAACATATTATACAACTGTACATTTCGGTGGATTAGTAAAGTGCGATATTAACAGGATTGCAGCTTTCAGATTCCACACGATCCATCATTCCAGGCTATCAAATATAAAGCCTGTAGTAATATAGGTATTGTATTTAGGTCTAACTGTGACCTAGATAACTGTTTGTGTTGTAGTTATTGATTTCCGAATCAGTTCGTGCAAATAATTTTGTTACGTTAGTTTGTGTTCATATGAGCGATTATTTGTAATGGAAAAATGATTCATGCTGCTTATAGAATAAAGATTAAAGTTCTTAAAGGCTTTGTTTGCCTTGCTGCTGACGATGATAGCTTTTACCGTATTTACTTTTTCTACCTATCAGTAGGTGTATTTTCTTTGTTATCTCTTGAATTGACATCGACAGTCATCCTAGCGGCTGCTGGAGCAACGAGACATTTCTATATAATAAGTTGTATTTGGATATGAACATAACATAACATCACGCCTTTTATCCCCGAAGGTGTAGGCAGAGGTGTACCTACATTATGCCACTGTACAATGTAACACCCACTTTTCACTATTTATGTTAAGAGTCCCAAGTAATAGGGGGTGAACCTATTGCCATATACCGGGCACAATTCCAGACTCCGTGCTACTACTATTTTTTGGATATGAAATCACAAATAAATGTACCTACCTAATATGTAATATATACCAATAGCGTGACAAATCATTAAGATTAAACATATAGAATTGCCGTGTTTCAATATATTGTGTACAATGTACATACATATACAAGTTATTTTTCTTAGTAGTTATACAACATAGAAAAACAGTTTTCAATCTACACAACAGCAACGAAGCGAATAATGAATGCGATATCGATCAAATCGAATTTCAATGGTCGGAAGTGAACCGGTTCCATTAACTGCAAGTTCAATAAGAGAAAAGAAATTAATGCCCCTTTTAATTGATTTTTGTACTAAACACAGTAAATAAAGGAAATTGATTATGAACGGCTAAAGGATTAAATTCGACTGCAAAAATGAAACTGCATTTTGCTAATTATGCTGTAGTTGCTATTTATATGAATTTTTCTATGCATGAGTTGTATGCTCTTTGATAAAGCAGGTTTTATCTCTAGGTACCACTCCTTCTTTCATTCTTTCTCTTCTTTTTCTGTTTTTCCTCTTTATCGGCTCTTTTTGTCTAAACGGTATTTATTTAATACATATGCATTTGTTGCCCCAATAAAGACTGTTTTTGTCAATGGGTGTTATTGGATTTTTTTAAAATATTATCACATTATCACTTTTATTTCAATGTACGTTTATGTAATGTTCATCTTATGTACCAAGATCCTGGAGCTAGACACCACGTCTAATCAAATTCAGTATAGTGGTCTACTGGTCTATATTTAGCAGGGGACAGAAACCCGTTGATGATGATTAAGATGATACTATACGGCGGTAAAACAACAGTAATCTTAATAAAACTATAAATACACAAGTTGGTTTTTGTGTGTAGATATGTTTGTTACTTAATCACGTCAAAACGACGAAGAGAGAGATCGGGATGAAATTTGGAACGGAGGTATATTATGGTTTTGACTGCCTCGTTGGCCGAGTGGTCGCAAGTACGACTGCCGGGCAAGGGAACTCGGATTCGATTCCGCGGGTCGGGCAAAGTATTACTGGGTTTTTTCAAAATTCTCAGTAGTACCACGGAGTCTGGAATTGTGCTCGGTATATGGCAATAGGCTCACCCCCTATTACATGGGACTCATAACATAAATAGTGAAAAGTGGGTGTTACATTGTACAGTGGCATTAAATGCCGTAATGTGCACCTCTGCTTACCCCTTCTGGGATAAAAGGCGTGATGTTATGTTATAACACATAGGCTATTATTTAAGCCACGACATGTGTGTTTGTTGTACTAAAATCATATTAGACCTTACTTTCCTAAATAACGAAATGAAATAATATCTTCCGGGAAAGCGAAGTCAGTGAACATTAATAAAATAAATAGTATTTATTTCATGAACAACGATTGTGCAAGTTTCAAAGTGAAAAGGGAAATTTTATGAAATTACTTATTTATGCTTATAGTTACAATGCACACGATGTTAATGTAGGTACTCAGTTGTATAACGTGATTGCTACTTAAAATTTGAGCGCGTTTTTTGAGTAAGTAATTGTTAAATGGGTTTAATTTTATGAGAATTTCTTTTATGTGATTTTTACGACTTGTGTGTACTTCTGTACGTCCTTGGTTAGTTGTTATTTAGGGTTGTTGTTTACCGTTACCGACGTTTGTGCGAAGATACTCAAGATTTCCTCGTGGCCTGGATCCAAGACGCTGCGCAAACGCAGTGCGCGAGATCACACCGCGACGCGCACACGCGCGCTCCGACCGCCATCTTTATAACGCATTATTAAATCTACAATATTTATTGTAGTTAAAATTAAATTAAAGTGAGAATTGTTTGAAAAGTGGAACCAATATGGCGTCTTTACTTCTTGTGTTTGGTGAGTGATTTAATTTTAAATAATGTTTGGAATAATAGCGACATTTTCTTATATTAGTTGAGGTCAAGTTGAAATAAGTTTCATATTATTTGTTACATTATATTAAAATGGTTTGTGTAGTGTGAATATACGTTATAATGAACCGTCAAACCGTCATGCTCCTTTTCCTTTGGGAAGAGCTGACGTCTCAACGGTTTCGTTGTGAGTCTGAGCGACTTTACTTTCGCTCTTAGGCCTCTATTTATTTACCAGATACTGACCAGAGCAAAACTAGATATAATAGTTAATAATGATAATTTTTCGTTCAAAAAGAGTTCCTATAAAAATGTTTATTAGGTTTATAATTGAGTTTACGGTTTAGGCTAAAGATGTATTATATAATATATACCTCTAGGTATAATATTTGTTATTATTATATATCTTTATTATTATAATATAGGCTTTAATCGTTAAACGATTATGTCAGCCTTGTAGATTTACAATTACATAATTATAAACAAAACAATTAAAGAGATCTTAACTTAATTAATTTGCTAAATAAGTAATATAAATCAACAGCTATTTCGGATGTAGGCTTCGATAAAATCAAGTTACATAAGCCCACCTCGCTCAATCTAAACCCGCCTTTTACTTCCAACGCCCTGCGTTCTGCCCCGATCCGGGCACACTCCACTAAAGCGTGGTATATATCCTCTCTGATACCACAGATCAGACAGTTTGGGGTATCAACCACTTTCATGAGATATCCGAATGCATTCAGCGGAATGTGCCCGGAACGAAGACGCATGCTCGTTACTAGTATTTTTCTACTAAAAGGAACTTCTGCAAACCAAGGAATGCTGGGTGGTTCGGACTGGATTGTCTTGTACCATATACCCTTCTCTACAGATCTTTTGTCAAAGTGTTCTTTCCACAGACTTTTGCATCTTATTTTAACATCTGGTAATATATCTGTAAAAAAGGGTAACTGGTTCACACATATGCCTTCATAGATGCCTATTCTTGCTAATCGATCAACTTGTTCGTTTCCCATCAGACCTACATGCGATGGAATCCACTGAAGTTTAATTATTTTGCCATTACCTCTCAGAACCCAATACGTATTCAAAATAGAATAAGCCTCTGGTAGACCTCGTTTCCCTGCGGTACATCGAATTAGATGTTGCAAAGCGCTCTTGGAGTCACACAGTATTACACATTTGTCATAATTACACGACATCACATACGACAGACCTTCCGAAATTGCATACAATTCCGCCGCCATTATTGATACTTTACAATTCAACGAGAAACTGGCTTTTGTGTCAGCTTGAGGATCGTAAAACGCTGCTCCTGTGCCTTTGTCTTCTTTAGACCCATCGCTATAAATCTGATAGAATCCGTTATAATGTTGTGCAAGAATTTGTATACATTTTTCCCGAAGTGCTAAAGAAGTATAAAATCTCTTAGGCCCTATTATTTCATTAATGTTTAAGTTGATATGCGATTTAATATCTATGTTTGTCACCCAAGTCGACAGTGAGAACATTTCCAGGATTTTAGCACGATATATAGGTTGATTACATAACTCACTGTGTATTATAGTTAGTAACGGTTTTTTCTTATTGCTCCAATATGATGTCTGTTCACATGCTTGTGTTAATTTAGATATGGCTAAGACGGTTTCACCATCAATAACCGATTTCGCTTTTAAATAAAATTTCGCAGCTAAATATTTTCGACGAACAGATAACGGAGGAAGACATAACTCCGATTCCATCACATGGATTGGACAACTCTTCAAAAAACCGCCAACTATTCTCATAGCTTGATTTTGGAGTTTGTCTAATTTTGTAATATTAGTTTTAGCGCTATTGTCAACTAAAAAGCTTGCGTAATCTAACCTGCTGCGGATAATTGCAATATATAACCTTCTTAAATGTATTTTTTTTTTTTTTAAGGGGGGAAAATCATCGAATGACTGCTCCCGCCTGGGTGAGGCGGAAGGGAGTGTCAGACTCTTACTGACTAAAAACCACCCCGTTCCTTCTCCTGCACGTCGAGCCGGAGCCCCGGTTACCCGTTAGGTTCTCCGCGACTCCGAATCGGCATCGGCCCTATTGGGCCCCATCTGTGGTGGTCTGATGGCTCTTTGAGGCGCGCGCGGAACGCGACGCGCCGTACGCTCGGGTCTGTTTCTGGTCGGACGGGGAGCCACCCATGCTCGCCGTCCGCAGGCCCGCGCTTACGGTGGCCGGAGATCGTCCCGCGATCCCCGACGCCCGGTGTGTCCTTCGCGATGGCTGGGTCGCGAGGAGGCAGCGCTTCGCTGCCTCACGCGTCCCGCCTCCTCCTTAGCTAGCATGACTGCTTCGCAAAAGGAGGAGACGGCATCCCAGTCCCCCTCGCTCCGCATCATGGCCTGCACTAGGCCCGGACGCGAGAGGTCGCCATCGCCGATCACTTCCCTGAGGGCACGGCGGTGCTCAGCCCACGCAGGGCATTCCGCTACGGTGTGTTCCACCGTGTCCTCAGGGCGGTCCTCGCAGTGATGACACCCGGGCGTTTCCTCCCGCCCCATCAGACACAGGTACCTCCCGAAACTTCCATGTCCGGTGAGGACCTGCGTCAGGCGGTAGGTGAGGACGCCGTAGCGTCTCTCAAGCCACTCCTCAAAGAGGGGACTTACCGCTGCAATGGCAGCGAGCCCAGCCCTCGGTTGCGACAGTCGTTGCTGCCATTCCGCCATGAGATCGCGCCGGAGCTCATCCCGCCACGCACTTATCTGGCGCGGCAGCGGAGTTTCGCCCCGGCGACGTGCCTCCGCGCGCATGTTATACACGCGCGCGAGCACCTTCGCCTCCAGATCCCACGGCGGTAATCCGGCAAGGAGGTTCGCCGACTCCCCAGCGATCGTGCGGTATCCGCGGATCATTCGGATCGCCATGACCCTCTGTGACTTGAGCAGCGTCCGAGCAGGACGCCGCAACAAGTTCGGCGCCCAAACAGGGGCGCCGTAGAGGGCCATGGACCGCACGACCCCGGCGTATAACCTCCGGCAGGAGGCGTTTGGCCCCCCGAGGTTGGGGAGGATGCGTTTGAACGCAGCCCCCGTCCTCTCCAACTTTGGAGCCAAACGTCGGAAATGCTCTATGAAGTTCCACCGACTGTCGAGGACGAGTCCTAGGTACTTCATCGCCGTCTCGACGCCGATGGTAACCCCTCCCGCCGTTATTTGGGACCCACCCGGAGGTGGCGCGTTCCCGCGGCCATGAAAACACATGGCCTCGGACTTGTGGAGCGCCACCTCGAGTCCCAACTGCCGGATTCTTTCAACGACTGTCGCAACCGCTGTCGCCATTAAGTCGGCCGCCGCCTGGTGCGACCTCCCGTGCGCTAGCACCAGCGTGTCGTCGGCGTAGCATATTGTGCTAACGCCGTTCGGGAGGTCGGTGCGCAGCACCCAGTCATAGCCGATGTTCCACAGGAGCGGCCCCAGAACCGAACCCTGTGGAACACCGCGTGACATCTCTCGCCGGTTCCACTCGCCCCGGTGACCGGGGTAGCTGACGGACCTGTCCGTCAGGTAAGCCTCGATTACACGACGGAGGTAGGTAGGCACCCGATGATATCGGAGTGCCTCCAAGATGCAGCTCCAGGGCAGGGAGTTGAAGGCGTTGGCGATGTCCAGAGACACCCCACTACGACCTTACCCCTGGACACTGCAGTCCCCGTCGTGAGGTCTCTAACGCGCATGATGGCGTCCACCGTGGAGCGCCCTCTGCGGAAGCCGAACTGGCCGTCCGACAAGTCCGGCCCAATGTCCGTCAGGTGCGCGACGAGGCGGTTCGAAATGATTCTTTCGAAGACTTTCCCCACCTCGTCGAGCAGCACTGGCCGGTACGCGGACGGAGAGTCCGCAGGGCGCCCCGTCTTCCGCACGAGGACCAGTTTGCCCGCTTTCCAGAGAAGCGGGAACTGGCCTCCTCTCCAGACATGCGCTGTAGAGACCAATCAATCGAGGCCCGAGAGCCTCTGAGGCCAGGACCCATGCCTTGCCATGCAGGCCGTCGGGTCCTGGGGCGGTGTTCTTGGCGCCCATCCGGCGCACCGCCGCTCTCAATTCTGCCTCGGTCACCTCTGGGACGATGTCATCGTCGTCGTCGCTGTAGCCCGCGTCGGGCACCGCGGGGGCGGAGTCATATACGGAGGGGTGAAGCCTCCACAGTCGGGGAACAGGGCGCCAATCACCTCCTCCAAGACTTCTGGCCGGAGACTCTGAGTGAGCGGGGGAGCCCAAGCACGGAGCTTGTCGCGTACCATCAGGTACGGGCGTCCCCACGGGTCTCTATTCAGAGTCCCCAGCATCTCTCGGCGGGCCTCCTCCTTGGCCCGCAATATCTCCGCCTTGAGGAGGGCCTTCGCCGCCCTGTATCCCTCGTATAACTCCGCCTCTCTCGCCTCCGCATTAGGAGGACGGATACGGCGCCTGCGGTGCCTAGTGTACTGGCGTCGCGCAGTAGTGCACGCCTTGCGCAGAGCCGCCAGCTCTTGCGACCACCAATACACCTGGCGCTTCTGTTGCCTCGACCGGATCCGGGGCATCGCCACGTCACAGATCCTGGACATGGCGTCCTGGAGCCACTTGGCCTCATCGTCAACGTCGGCAGGCCTGACCGGTGGTATCACCCAGGCCTGCACGATGGCGGCTTCCAGGAGCAGCTCCCGGTCCAGCTGTTTCAGCGCCCAAACGCGGGCCACATGGGGCCTGTCTGACCGGGGTCTGCGGACTCGGCGGAGACGTCGAACCGGATATACCGGTGGTCGGAGTACGTCTCCACCTCCTCCATGACGCGCCAGCCAACAACACGCGGTGACAGAGCAGGGCTGGCGAACGAGATGTCCACCACCGACTCGCCCTGCATCCGCACACACGTGGGGACAGAACCCCGGTTCAGGACGACTAGGCCTGTCTCAAGGGCCCAGTCTTCCACCATCCTACCCCGGACGTCGGTGAACCG